TATACAAGAGAAGGGGATCTGCTAGCGTCTAAAATGGATGAGAGACAGCTACTGTGTAAGTTCTGCACTACTTTTAGATCGAAAGAGGGTGCGGTAAGAGAGGTTGCAACGAATCTACGACGAACAGCGAAGAACATAAGAAGAAAACCTCCTGAACCCTAATGCAGATCTATAGGGGTGAGAAGGTGATAGCTTACGGGTACGGAGTTGCTGCGGAGGGTCACCGCCGTTCTCTGGACAGAATCGGGGTGATGCAGCGGCCGGAGTTGAGGACGACGGTGCGCTGCGGCGGCGGCGGGGCTCGAGCGGCAGAGAAGGTGCGAGAGGAAGAAGAAGAAATAGGAAGGAATGGCCAAGCCTATTTATAAGGGGATACGTGAACATGCAGGCGCAAAAATCGAGGGAGACCAAAGTAATGATTATCCAGCTAAATGGACGCCTTGATTCTCGGAAGACATTTAAGGATAAGGATCCGTTGAAGATGACATCATGGCAGATTTTCATATTTTCTGAAGATGACATCATGGCGGGTTACAAGAGCTTTTACAAACAGAAGAGAATGGATTTCGTTTAAGGTGTTAGAGATTGACAAGAACAAGGTTCAAATCAACCTGGGGCCTAATGTTGGGGATATAACTACCAGGCATGACCCGCCCAGAAGGGGTCAGGTCAATCCTAATGGCGGGTTACTAAAAGTTCAGTGAATATACAAGGCGATGGTTTAGTATAAGACTTGTAGTAGGCCCAAGCCCAGAGGCGGCTTGAGGCCCATGATTGTAAACCGCCATGAGTAAGAAAGGCATGTAAAAAAAGTCATCGAGCCGGACACGTTTTATGAGCCGGCCGGGACTCTGTAGGCCGCCAGGCGTCAACCCGTGTATATAAGGGGATGATCCGGCGGCGGCTTAGGACAAGAGACAACAGATCGATAGCCAAGCTAGCAGATTCACTCCTTGGTGATCGAAACCTAGCAATACAACATCAACTGGACTAGGCCTTACCTTCACTGTAAGGGGCCGAACCAGTATAAACCTCTCATGTCCTTTGTCTCCATTAACCCCTTTAAGCTTCCTAGTTGCGATGGCCCTATGACTAAGTCCTTTCACTAGGACACCTGTCGTGACAATTCCACAACAGGTTCTATCACCTTCACCTTCTTGTTGGGCTTTGCTTGACCGCTAAAAAGAATTTGGACAAGTCAGCATAATGGTGAAGATATAAACATACAGAAGAAAGTTAATTATTCTGACCCAAGGGCAGTCTTGAAAGCCGGCAGCTGAGTCTGAGATGAATCGCTAGAGGAAGAACGGGAAATCTCCTACAAAATTGAATCAAAGGAATTGAGTGGTTAAAGAAAGAAACCCGCCAGTAAATAAAAGAGTTAAGGCTAAAAAGAACCTCATTTCGGCGTTTTCGAGGAGTGTTTGGTAAACCAGATAATAATTCTTCACCTCCACCGGTTCGGGTCTGGCGGCGGCTATCGTGTTGCTGTCGTTTCAAAAGAAAGTGAGGATCTAAATAAGCCAAGGGGTGTGAAAAACCTTACTTTTCGGGTTACTCGCCGAAGTTTCTGCCTTGGCAAAGGTTCTGAGTCGGAGGAAATAATAGTTACCTCTTCTTCAACTGCTTGGCTGGCTCCCGTGTCATCCTGGTAATAGTCAGTGTCAATAAGATGGTTGAAAAACAAACCAAGAGAGTCAACGGCTACCTCTGACTCAGAGGCGTCATCCAGCTTAAGCAGGTCAGAGGCGCTTGACTTCTTCCTAGGCTTCTTGCTGGTCTTTTTGGCGGCTTTCATGGCAGCCCTAGCCCTTTTGGCAGCCTCGTGGTCATATTTTGCCTTCCAGAAGTCAGGTTTAGCCTTCCAGAAGTCAGATTTAGCCTGCGGAAGAGTAACATACTTGAGTTCATGTAATGTTTGGGTGATGAAGTAAAATAAGGAAAATCGAGAGACTTACGTCTCGCGGCGGGTTAAGCTTGCAGAAAGAATTCATACCCACTTTGCTGCAGTCTTTGAATTTGCTATTTACAAGTGTTGTTGCCATTTCAATAATTCCCTCTTCAGTCAAACGCAGAGAGTTATGGCGTAATGGTTCGTCTGTTCCTCCGGTATAAGTACACATCAAGCCAGATTGGCGGCTTAAGGGTATGATCCACCATGCGACCCAACAGCGGATTAAATCAACTTCGGTTAAACCGTTTCCTAGCAGGGCTTGAACTTTTCTGATTGTAGGGGCGAGTTTCTTACGTTCGGCGGCGCTAAGTTTCTTGGGGAGTTGATGTTTTGAATCAAGACGTTCAGCACGGTAACCCGGCAATGGATTTTCATCAACCGGCGAGATATCTTTACAATAGAACCACGTCTGGTTCCAGTCCTTGGGGTGACTCGGTAGAGCTGCTTGAGGGAAGATGGCGTCTCTTCTGCGTTGAATTGAGATTCCACCAAGTTCTAAGCTGGGCCCGTTTCTGAATTCATTTTGGCTGTTCAGACAGAAGAATTCCCTGAAAAGCTCGACGTTAGGCTCTTCTTGAAGGTATACTTCACAAAAAACTTGAAAGTTACAGATGTTTGACACGGAGTTAGGTCCAATGTCTTGAGGATGGAGTTTGAAGAAGTGCGGAACATCTCTGAAGAACTTAGAGCCGGGTAACGAGAAGCCTCGGTTCATATGATTAGTGAATACAATGACTTCACCATCCTTTGGCTGAGGTCTCGCTTCGCCCGGGTCAGGAGCGTGGTAATGCATGACACTTTTCTCTGGCAAATATCCAACTGTGACAAAATATTTTAAAGTACCCTCAGTGACGATGGAGGGAACCCACTTACATGTAGTAACTGTCTTTGGCGGCATGATGAAAGGACAACCTAAAGGAAGGGAATAATTTGCCGGCTCAAGTTAGTTGGTGAAATCACAAGTTAACAGTTGCAGTGTATGTTCAGAATGGTGACTTAAGCGAGGGCTAATGATATATGAAGTAATGATAAGCCGTCAAAGTAAGCCGCCATGACTAAGATATTCAAGGTCTACCAAGAGCAAAATTTGCTAAGTGTTGGGACAAACATGTTCCACAGGTTAAAGCTATAAATCCGGATCTACGGCTTTTCAGAAAACGGAAATAAATTCCAAACCTACAGAGGCGGCAGCAGAAAAGTGGAGGTGCCCCAGAAGAGATCTAATGCAATGAGGATATATTCTAATGTCAAAAGCGGGTGCTAAAACTGCTACCGCACATGACCTATATTATTTTCAGATCAAAACTACGCGATCTAGCAAGAAGAAGGAGGAGGAGCGATGAGCATCGACGAACACTGAAACCCTAAAGAACATATCCATGAAAAGTAAAAGGGGAGACTTACTGATGCTAGCTGACAGCGAAGGAGTGTCGCGGTGTTTCTGGACCGTTCAGGGCGATGCAGCGGCCGTAGTTGATGAAGGGGACGGAGGTCGACGATGGCGGAGCTTGTGAGGGCTGGTGCGTCGCGAGGAAGAAGAATACGAGAAGGAGAAGAGAGGAGAATGAGAAAGGGGTGGTTTCACCCTATTTATAAGGAAAGGGGCAACATGCAGGCGCGAAAAATGAGGAGGCCAAATGATGATTATCCAACTAATTGGACGCCTCAATTTTCGAAAGGACAGTAAAGATAAAGATCTGTTAAAATGACGTCGCGGCGGGTTTTCAAAATTCTTGGAGATGACGTCATGGCGGGTTACAAGGTTTTCACACCATATGTAGAAGGATTTTTCTAAGTGTTGAAGATTGACATGAACAAGTTCAAATCAATCTGGGGCCTAATGTTGGGGATATGACTATCAGATATAACCTGCCCAGGAGGGGTCGGGTCAGCCACAATGGCGGTTCATCTATGTGAAGTCCAAGAATATACAAGATGGCGGTTCGCAGTTAGGCTTGTAAGAGGCCCAAGCCCAGAGGCGGCTTAAGGCCCGTAAGTATAAACCGTCATGTACGTATAGACTTGTAATGTAAGGTATGTAAGATACGTCACCGAGCCGGACACGTTATATGAGCCGGCCGGAACTCTGTAGGCGCAGGGCGTCAACCCGTGTATATAAGGGGACGACCCGGCAGCGGCTTAGGGCAAGAAACATCAAGTCGAGAGCAAGGCAAAGCAGATTTGCTCCATGGTAATCGAAACTCTAGCAATACCACCTCAACTGGAGTTGGCCTTTACCTTCACCGCAAGGGGCCGAACCAGTATAAATCCTCGTGTCCTTTGTCTCGTTTTAACCCCTTTAAGCTAACCTCGTCGCAATGGTTTCGCAACTAAGTCCTTCTACGAGGACATCCATCGTGACACTTCCACGACACAGATCATGGCGGAGCTGTAACGATCGTCGGGATCGCTACGACCATGTCTGGCGACGCCACGATGACCACCCGACATGCACCAGAGATGTTACGACGGGCACCATGGGATGTTGCAACCAGCAACACAATTTGCTACGACCATGCTCGGCAACGCTACGACGGGCCACCCAGATTGCTAGGATGGCAGCGACATCGTATTGCACGCGCGCATTGCTGCGGCGGCAATAGCCTCACGACCGCGACAAACGACGACCTGCTGATGCACGTCGCCGTGACCAAGCGCTGCATCGTTGGGTGAGGCGAGGGAGAGCGAGAGTACTGTAGCGGTTGGTGCGAGGTGAGAGGATAGGAATGATTGGACGAGAAAGGAGAGAGTGACATGTTCGTGGGAAGAGGAATCAGACGGTCTTCATTACCTCAATCGGACGACTGAGTGGCAACCGGCCAGACTCTCGCGCCGGTCGGCCGGCGCATAGGATCGTCCAGACGTGATATTGCTGTGCTACTATAGATGACAGTCGACGTACACGCGCGTGGGAGGCGTGCTCTCATATCCGACAACACATCACCGATTGATCGAAGCACAGCAGCAATCAAAGCAACCTACGAACTCTCACGCGGGCCAATACTCCTGATTCCCCAATCCCCCACAGAGTACCGCTGCCGGCGCCATGTCCACCGCCACTAAAGGTACAGCTGGCTACGACCGCCGCCGGGAGCTTCAGGCGTTCGACGACACCAAGGCCGGCGTCAAGGGCCTTGTCGACGCCGGGGTCACCACCATCCTGCCCATCTTCCACCACCCTCCCGACTCCCTCGCCACTTCCTCCACCGCCACCATCCCGGTCATCGACCTCTCGGGCCGCCGATCCGAAGTGGTCGGCGAGGTGCGGGCGGCGACCGAGACGGTGGGCTTCTTCCAGGTGGTCAACCACGACGTGCCGGCTGACCTCCTTGCTGAGATGGTCGCGTCCGTGCGGCGGTTCCACGAGTCGCCGGCCGAGGCCAAGACGCCGCACTACACCCGGGACCTCGCCAAGAAGGTCCGGTTCAACTCCAACTTCGACCTGTTCCAGTCGCCGGCGGCCAACTGGCGCGACACCCTGTTCTGCCAGGCGTTCCCGGACCCGCCGGAGCCGGAGGAGCTCCCCGCCTCCATGCGGGGCGTCTTGCTCGAGTACGGCGACGCGGTGCGGCGGCTCGCCGTGCGGGTGCTGGAGCTGGTGTCGGAGGCCATGGGGCTGGCGCCGGATCGGCTGGAGAAGATGGGGTGCGTAGATGGCCTGAGCGTGGTGAGCAACTACTACCCGCCGTGCCCGCAGCCGCACCTCACCCTCGGCACCAGCCGGCACTCCGACCCGGCGTTCCTCACCGTGCTCCTCCAGGACGACATGTCCGGCCTCCAGGTGCTCGTCGACGGTGGCAGCGGCGGCGAGAAGCGGTCGGTGTGGGTGGACGTCCCTCCGGTGCCTGGCGCTCTGGTGATCAACGTCGGCGACCTGCTCCAGCTGGTGAGCAACGGGAGGCTGAAGAGCGTGGAGCACCGGGTGGTAGCCAACAGGAGCAGGGACAGGGCAAGGATCTCGGTGGCGGCGTTCTTCAATGCCGACCTGAGGACGACGACGGCGGTGTACGGCCCCATCGAGGAACAGGTGTCCTCGTCGGCGCCGCCGTTGTACAGGAGCATCACGGTGGGGGAGTTCCTCTCTCACTACGACGGCAAAGGCCTCGACGGACGCCCGGCGCTGGACCACTTCCTTCTTCCTTAATCAGTGGTCGGTTTGAAACAATGCTGGGAATTTCTAGCTGAACTTGTTTTCTGAAATCAGATGCTGTCAAATGTTTCTAAAACAGCGTAATGCAAAATGCTAGACTGGCTGCATAAGGAAATCAAGTTCACAGAGGATGTGTTTCCTACATTTTAGTATGCCAACTCATACAACACCAGATTTGCCTAAATATAATCTACATTTGCAACATCTTACTAGCATCACCTTGAATATGTACAAAGCAATGATTTCAGTATCTGGAGATGTCTGCATATTATTCACCATAAACTTTACTGAATAAGATGGAGGAAAATATTTCACATGGACCATGAATCTTGATTCTTGTCCTTATTACCTGTGGAAGTTGGGGAACCAAATATGCAGCCCTGCTTAAGAAAATTGCTATGTGTCTCAATGATTCCAGTATCTGGAGATGAGGACTTTGCATATTATTCGCCCTAAACCTCACTGAATGAAGAGAAAAAGAAATCACATGGACAATGAATATTGCCACTATTGTTATCTGTTAAATGTGTGGAACTAAATATGCATCTCTGCAACCACTTTATTCTCGCTTTAAGCACATCGAACTGAAAGGGAACCAAAAAGTCAGTAGCAAGTCGAACTTTTGCTTGTGTGAAAAAGAGCTACTGAGAGGTTTCATGAGTTTCTGATTTCGAGTGGTGCAACATCTGACCACCAAGAATGCATTGCTGACAGAAACGGAGAAACCTGAGTAGTCCTTTCTCAGACAAAAGACATGTTAAGAGAGGAGTTTGATCCTGAGTTTACTAGCTCACAGTTACAACTTTTGAGAGTGAACTAGTTCCATGACATACCATCCTGGGAATTACAAAGGAACATCAAACTACAAACAGAGAACAAGCATTGAACTGAAGCAACATAATATTCAGGCATCGGCACCATAAAAACGAGCAAAAGACAACACGGTCTTCAGGTGCTATCCTCGTCAGAACTGGAAGAACATGATATCACTGGAAGGGCATCATCTTCAGCTAGAAAAGAGTTGTTGAAGGGATCGGCAATTGACAAGTCATGGGTATCTGAATGGCGAAAATAGTATGAACAATGTTTAAACTCAAGGTCTGGAGAAGCTTCACTTTCCACTCCTAGCAGCCTGTGTTGATCAGCCACCCATTTCTCGTTGAACTTCTCACTCACGCCAAATTTGATCTCATTTAGCACTTTCCCATTCAGAACAAAGAACTTGGCAAAGCTAACATCTTGCTTGTCGCCTTTGTAATTCTTCAAGACTAGTGTTTTGAGATGGGTCTCAAGGCATTTGATTGGATCTTGTGGGTCATAATGACGCACATTGTTCATCTCTGTGTTTAAGTATTTGTTCCACTGGAAAGGAAATAAGACTTATAAGATACATATTTTAAAACTTTAAAGTAATTGCCAACTAGACTAGATTATACATGTCAATCAATTGTTTTTGGAGTACCAAATACACATTAAGCCAAGTAGGCTAAGCCGAGTGTAACACTTGGCTTACACGTCGCCGAGGTTAAAACGGTGTTCGCCGAGTATGTTTCATACTCGGCTTCATTTATTTTTCCTATAGTGTCTGTCTCTAAGTATTCATTCCACTGTAAAAGGAAAGAAGACTTAAAAGATGATGTTAAAGTAATTGCGGAAAATTCGTTTCTGAGCCCGGGCTCAGATGATCCCGTAATCTACACCAACGATTCTCATGCGGATTCATGCCATCCAGTGTATTCTGCAGTCATATATTTCCTTTTCGCAATGAACGGTAGGACGCATTCATTGCAACGGCGCGTCACGGCTGCGATGCGGAACAAGCAGAAGCCCGATGGCTCGGCAACATATCTGAGCCATGCTGACCCAGTCCAGCAGACGGACTGCAAACGGCAACTAGGAAGGCTGGCTTTAAATGCACCTACCCACCGCCCACCGGACTCGTCTTCCACATCCAGCCGCACCCAACCAAAAAAATCCCCATTTCATCTCGTCCTCTACATCGAGTGCCCACTCCGGCCGCCATGTCTGACACGTCTTCTTCATTTCTTCCTGTGCCGCCAGAGGCCAGACCATCTTCTTCCTCTCATCCCATGTCCTTTTTGCGGGGCGGAGATTAACACCAAGGTCGCAGGGACGGGAAAATGGGCCGGGCATCGCTTCTACAAGTGCTTCCGCTATGACGTAAGTAAATCTGTCCCATGCAATCATTATACTTTCTGATCTCATCTGCCCCTCTTAGATGTCGAGCTGACCTTGTCGATCTGATTTTTCGGGCACGCGAGTGTCGGTTCTTCGAATTCCAGCACAAGTACGTCAGAAGAACGACCACGCTCAAGATTGCTCATGTCCAGCTAAAGCCGCCTGGTACCCAAACGCCCAGCTGTGTGTCCCCATGGCGGGACATGGACACCAGAGCAACCCTGTGGTGCACATAGCTCATCCTCATAACCAGAACCAGCAAGCCACGCGGGCGCAACCCGTCACGGTGAATCAAGTCCTCAGGCCGGTCTCCGCCATCACAGCTGTTTCTGTATCCCAGGGGCTTGCAGCCATCAACATCATGCTTACCGTTCTACTTCTGTATGTCGTCGCTATGTTCTTTCGCAGTGCCAATTAGTCCCTTCCGGTGTTCTTTAGGGCCGACATGAAGGAAGGGTGAGGGACTCTTAAGCGTGTTTCCCAACTACAGTATTAGATATGTTGTACTAGGATTAATGTAATGTCTAGTTGGATGTGGAACAAAGCTCTTTGGCGGCCAAACTGAATTAATGTTAATGTTTTGTGTGTTTCAGTTTATGTTTTGTTCCGACTGTGATTTTTCCAAAAATAGGCAAAAACGCTCTTTTTGCTGTAATACAGCTCTAAGGAGGGTCGGTCGGCACCGGTCGAAGACACGTGCCCGCAAGGGTTTCCAGACTGACCCACATCATGCTTGTTTGGAACGGCGCTGTTGTGCGACGGCTCAGCTTTCCCATGCTTATTTGATCCATGTGTTGGGAAAACCACCGACGTCCTGGTCCACAGACCAGACGGCACGCACGTTTCCGTCAGCCCACCCACGTCCCTCGGCCCCACGTACGCAGCACTGTTCCGTCCATATTCGTCGGCTATCCACATTTTCTAAACTCCAACGGCAGACGTGTCAGGGCTATTTTCCCGGATCCCGAGTCCAGAATGTAATGCAATGATATCGGGATCAGCTGGGCTCGGGCACCAATTCCCCTCGTCCCTAACTAGACTATAAATTACGTGTCAATCAGTTCTTTTTCAAGTATCAGTTTTCATTTTGACATTTAAAGCAAGCAAATAAGTATAAAAACTCACCATAACATAAAGCTTTTCCAAGCAGGGGAAGAACATGAGGACGTCAAGAACCGCATTCAAATCAGCGCAAGAAAACTCGAGAGCCAGAACCTTCACTGTGCATATCAAATTGTTGAAGCTGGTTGGAACCAACCCCTGTAAAACAAGAATGAGCATAAAACTAATATATGAAGGAATGCCAAGTGCAAGAGTTGAGTAGGATACTTCTACCTGAAAGACTAGGTTTGCAATCTGAATATTGGAGATGCAAGGTGACAAAGGGCCCAATATGTCCAGTTTAGGTGCCCTGCTTACCCGGATAGCCTCGCCGTCCAACCATGGACAAAGCAGCCTTTCAAGGTGAGGGGTGTCCTCAATAACCAATTCGCTTTTACCCATATGACAATTACTGAAGCAGATGCTCCTAAGAGTTCGCGAGCTAATGTGGAGGGAGCCATTATAAGAATTTCCATCCAGAGATAGGGTCTCCAACACATGGCAGGCGGAAAGAACACCATGGAATGAACCCACGGAGATGTTAACGTAACGCAGAGTGAGATGCTTGAGGATGGGGAAATTCAATGAAGGAGCGATCTCATCTGAGACATCGCAGTAGCCAACAGTGGCCACGACAAGAGTTGATGTGAAGCGGAGCACAGATGAGAGCAGGGGGTTCGGACCTACTAGTCGCAAGATTGGGAAGTGGATATGGAGCTCCTCAAGGTTGTCGAGGCTCCGAGACTGGAACCAGCTCGCGATCTGAGCAACACTCTTGGCGTACTCTCTTTTTGTTGGGGAGATGCAGGGTAATCGGATGTCGAAGCGACGGGCAGGGCCAGGATGGTCGGCGAGGATCCTGGAGATGATGGATTCCGTCGACGGTCGACGCCCTTGGCGGCGGCGCGGCTGCTTGAAATCATTGGTGCTGAGGTTCTTGGCGTCGAGGTTGAGAGGCGCGGAGCGCCAGAGGGGGCGCCATCGGCGGGCGATGGCCTGCGTGCGAGCGCCGTCCTTGGTGGGGAGGAGGGAGATGATGGTGCAGAGGACGGCGTCCGGAAGGTTGCTGATGAGATCGCCGTCGCCGTTGTCATCCCGTGCCCGTTTCCGTGGCCTGCACCCGGCCGTTCCACCGGATGCGCGCTTCTTGGCCGCCGCCGCCGCCTTCTTCTTGGCCGCGGGTACGGCCGCTGCCGCTTTCTTCTTGGCCGCCAGGGGCTTCTTCTTAGCAGCCGCGGGCACCGCTGCCGCCGATTTCGTCTTGGCAGCCGCGGGTACAGGCGCCGGCGCCGCCGCCGCCTTCTTCTTCCTCATATGTGGAGATTGGTTAGGCGGAGAGTGCTGGGCATCTGGGATGGGGAATTTCGAATGCAGCAAATGGGGATGGAACTGATGGGGATGGAACTGGGAGTCTGGGACCGAAGAGTGGGGAGCCGGAACGGGCAGCGTCGAAGGCTAGTCAGGTTGCTGGGCCACGCCGGGCTGGGATGTAGAGGCTGGGTCCCGGGTGTTTCCCCAAAATTGACATTTGGATTTCACTCAAGTCCGACCAGTTTTGAATAAAATGTGGATTGCCCTAAAAAGGAACAAAATGTGAGTGATGCTCAAATTTTGCATGTGACCCAAAGGCAGTACTAAAGAAGGACGGATGGAGAAACCCACCTAATGGCTTTGTTAAGCTGAACGTAGATGCTGCCTTCGACTATGACGCGCTACATGGAGCTATGGAAGAAGTCATACGAGATGACAGAGGTCACTTTATTGTTTCTGGGAACAAACTAATAAAGTCATGTTATGATCCTCTTTCCGCAGAGGCATTGCCTCTTAAATTTGGTTTACAACTCTCTTCTTCGGCAGGGTGTAACAGGCTTGTTGTTAATTTCGACAGCTCAGAACTAATAGAGATTATGACCAAAGACGATCAGTATGCGGGCAATGCAGCAGCCATCATTACTGATTGTTACCACTTGGCATGTGAGTTTAGTTCAATTCGGTTTGAATTCTGTCCTAGAGAAGCAAACGTTGTTGCTCATGAATTAGCTAGTGTAGTTAGATCTAAATTCTGCAGTGAGTGGATTGAAATGGCTCCTAATGAGCTTCTTCTTTTTTTACTTAAAGATGTAAGTGTTATCACCAATGAATAAAGAAGGAACTTTAGTTGTCAAAAAGAAGTCTTGAATTCAGACAACACCGGCTTTTGTATAAAATAAAAATATTTTTCTACCAACTTAGATGACGAAAATACTCAACTTGCAAGAACGATAGTGCTTGTCCTGCTCCCTATGCCGCTGCATGTCCATAGGAAAATATCAGGAGAGAGCTCCTCGACCGCTGAATCATGAATCTGATGGTGAGCATTGAAGCCCTAGACACGGGCAAAATTTCAGGACTCTTTCAAGGAGTTTTATGCACAAAATTTAAAGCCCAAAGCTCCACCTACCACGGGTGCATGGGAGGGCCGAGAGCATTCGCTATTTCCTCCAATGTTCAATAGGTGAGCTTTCGTGTCTCTCTATGTTGGATGTGCCGGTTGAGCAAGTAATCGCATGGTGTATCGCTATTTGTTGATGGTACATATTGATTCGCTCCTCCAGGTGCGGCATGCCTCTCCATGATTTATTCGCTCCTACAAAAGTCAAGATCATGTGGATTCTTCCACAGGGTAAGACTAGGCGGGAACGTATCTGGTGCACCAAAGTAATTGGTGCTACCGATGCACTGGACCCCGTTGCACATTCAAAAAAATCTGGAAAAAAAATTAGTGTATCGACACAACATCAATGTATGTTGTCATGATAATTCAAATCAAAATTCAAAACAATGCTCAAGATAAAAAAATGACAAATTTGACATCAGTGTGCTAATGGGCCAAAACTGAAGCCCAACTCATGTTATGTACTATTCAGTCTCAAATTTATTATTTTTGTATCTCGACCAATGTTTCAGATATTGATTTAAATTTTTGTGACAACATGCGTTGATATTGTGTCAATGCACTAGATTTTTTTCCAGGATTTTTTTGAATATTTTTGAATGTGCAATGGGCGACCGGTGCACCGGTAGCACAAATTGCCCCGGTGCACCAGATACATCCCCAAGACTAGGCTTGTGCCTTCTGTAACAACATCACCTTCCTCGACTTCGCCAACTGCCATTTATTCACTATCACCAGCTAACACAGTTTGACGACTTCTTTTTTTGTCCTCCTCCTTTGAGTTGTTTGGTTTCTAGTCCTCGGCAATCAACATTTTGTGTTGCAATGCCCGTCGAAGACATTTGGCTTGCACTCTCCTCCTATCACCAAATATGGAACATAGCGTGGCTTGCGATCTCCTCCTATCACCAAATATGGAGCATTGTGCTCCGTAGCACAATCATGTTCATGACACTTCAACGCACATGGAGAAATTGGCACGTGGCCTTCACCCGCATGCACTCTACAAAATGCTAACCTGTAGCAGATGATGAACAACAAACTTCGGTTGTGGATGGTTAGATCTCCTCGTGATATTAACCTCTCACATCTTGTCCTCTATTGTGAATCCCTAATATGTACATGCTCAAATTTTGAGCCCCCGTCGCTGTAAAAGATTGTAACCACGAATTTTGAGTATATTAAGTTTAGGTAGGCAATTGGTGTTTTCCTATTTGGCACTTGGTGCACTGGTTAACGCAGTAACCATACCCAACACCTACACATCATGAACATTTTAAAAATTCATGCACCTTTTCAAATTCACAATTTTGGAAACCTTCTAGATGGTTCCACAATCTAGAAGATTTTCAAATGTACATGAATTTGACAAAGGAATTCCTGCACTTTTTTCAAATTCATTTATCACCGATTTTGGAAACCTTCTAGATGGTTGCACTCGTTTTTACCTATGGCGGGTTTTCTCTAGTTTTTCCATGATTGAGTTTATTTGGTTTTTCTTTTTTGTCCAATACACAAAAAATCCCAAATTCATGAACTTTTCTCAGATTCATGAGTGAAGTGCACTGTAGGTCCTTGAACTATTTCAGGGATGTCACGTAGGTCCTCGAACTATGAAAATCGTCATCTAGGTCCTCAAAGTGCAGTAAGTGTGTCATTCAGGTCCAAAATCTCCCTGACAGGCTCTAACTGGCCAGCTGGCACATAAACAGTAACCGTAACAGTACGCGGCAAATCGTCCTGAATTCCTATGCGTGATGAACAGTACACGACAAAGAATAAATATAAAAAAGTATCAAAAAACTGAGATCCTCTGTCATCGAAGAGACACGGCGCGTGAACAGTAAAAATGTCATTAATTCAAAAAAAGTTCGCGAACGATGAATTTGGAAAAATATTTGTGACTTTAATAAAATGTTCGCAAACGATGACTTTGGAAAAAAATATTCGCGACTTCAAAAAAATATTCGTGAATTTAAAAAAAGTTCGCGAACGATGAATTTGGAAAAAATATTCACGACTTTAAAAAAATGTTCGCGAACGATGAATTTGGGAAAAATATTTGCGAGTTTAAAAAAAGTTTGCGAACGATGAATTTGGAAAAAATATTCATGACTTTAAAAAATGTTCACGAACGATGAATTTGGAAAAAATATTCGTGACTTTAATAAAATGTTCGCGAACGATGAATTCAGAAAAAATATTTGCAACTTTAATAAAAAGTTCACTAACATTTTTTAAAGTCAGGAATTTTTGTGGTTCACGAACATTTTTTTCCATACCCACGAACAATATTTGTGGTTCACGAACATATTTTCAAATTTATTGTTTGTGAACTTTTTTAAAGTCGCGAATATTTTTCCCATATTCGCGAACATTTTTTTGAATTAATGAACATTTTTACTATTCACGCACCAGGGGTATCTTTGATGCCAAAGATTTTCAGATTTTTTGTTCATATTTTTTATTTTTTGCACTGTTCACCATGCCAGCTGGCCATTTAGAGGGGTTAGTGAGATTTTGGACCTGGATGACACACTTACTGTACTTCGAGGACCTAAATGACGATTTTCATAGTTCGAGGACCTATGTGACACCCATGAAATAGTTTAAGGACCTACAATGCACTTCACTCCAGATTCATGGACCGTTTTTCAAATTCATGAAATTTTTCTAAATTCTTGCACTTTTTCAAATTTAGGAACAATTTTTAGATTCATAAACTTTTCTCCAATTTGTTATTTTTTTCAAATCCATAGACTTTTTTCTAATTCAAACTTTTTAAAATCATGAACATTTTTCAAATTGGTGAGCCTTTTCAAATTCACAAACATTTTTTTAAATCTACGAGCATGTTTCCAAATCCATGAATTTTTTTTAAATTCGACTTTTTTTTCAAATTTGTGATATCTTTTTTATTTTCCTGACCTTTTTTCAAACTCATGAATTTTTTCCAAATTAGTGATTTTTAAAATTCTGAATATTTATATATTCCTAAATATTTTCAAATTGTGTACTCCTTTTCAAATTCATGATTTTTTCAAATTCATGATTTTTTCAAATTCATGATTTTTTCAGATTCATGAACATTTTTCAAATTAATGAACCTTTTTTCAAATCCATGATATTTTTTCAAAAGTCAACGGTCGACCAGTCAGCTATCAACCAAGTGAGCGATGGGGTGATGACCGAGCATGCGAGCAGCTCGCGTTTTTGGGCTGGCCCACGTGAGATGGGAGCGTGAGCTTTACGTCACTATGTGGCGCAAAGAGCACTAAGGAGGAGGTATCAGGCAATTACCCCTTCGTTGCAGCGGAGTTGAAGAATCCTAAGTCCAATTTCGTTTTTGGATAAAGTAGTCCATTATCAGGGTGTGTTTTTCTTGACTAGCTAATAGTTATCTTGATGTTGTGACGACTGAATGCTACATCTAGTGGTCCATTTGAAAAGTAGGGAATAACTAGTATAGAATGACCAAAAGTGTTAGCTCAACTCCAACGCGGATCACCAAACATCCCGCCAATGTTTGGACCGGGCCGTATGAATACTTTTAGCCATCTAAGGATACTTGTTGAAATTGTCCAGACCGGTCCGCACGTCTGAAACCCTGCAGATCGGCACCAAATCAGTTTGTGGGAGTCCAAATGTCCGCAATGTTGGACTCCAACATCATGGACCCACCCAAAACCGAATCGGAGCCTGCACATTGTCACAATCCTGCCCGTCCTCCCAAGCGACAACCCACCCCTCTTGATGCCTCTGCCACAAGTGCTGTCGCCCTCCCCTGTTTTGTCATCTGCCACCGCTATGGAGACGTTAGAGGAGTCGAAGATGATGTTCATCATCCCGCAGGACCCGGACCAAATGGAGGTCACGACTGCGCTACGCCAAGGCTAACACATCAAGGCAAGAGAAGAAGGCAGACAAAACGGTGGAAGAGGGTCAGGCTGTAGCTCATCCTTGAAAGCGGAAGAAGGTGGTGGAGAAGCCAATGCCGCCTAGTCAATCGCAGCTCTGAGCCGCCCAGTTGAAGCCACCCAACACCTCGGTACGTCCTACATCCATAAATCACTGCAGCAGTCCATGACCTCTTTTACCTCTGGCCATTGAGCGTCGTTTTCTGTCGATCTAAAAAATGACTACTTCATGGAGCAATCAGCCACGGAAATCAATTATGGATCTCTCATCTATCAGTCTTCGCTCACTGTTTGGCAGAATGACTCAACCAAGTGCAGCAGCGGCAAATGATGAGGGATGATGAACATTATCCATGACAGAAGTGGCTATGATGACAAGTGGATAACTCCCAGCCGAAACAATAGACGTAGTCGAACACCCAGTAGGTGTGCACCAAGCAACTCTACTTTGAACCGAACGACTACTAGCCGCTGGGCGCAGACCCAAAGAAGAAGAGCATGGATCCACATACTCCTACAAGGAGGATGAGTTGATATGTGACGTGTGGTTTACCACTAGTGTGGACCTGTTCCTGACATATATAGGGCGAAAGCGCATGACATTTTGGCGAAGTGTGCTTGATTGGTTTCATGAGAAGAAAAATATATAATCCAATTCAAACGTAACTGATACATGATTGCAATCTGAAGTTGCTAGGCCATCAATGGCACATTATTCAAGAGGTTGTCAACAAGTTTTGCGAATTCTTCAAATGAGTGATAACCGGCATCTTAGTGGGGTGGCACATCAAGACTCATAATTTATGTGGCTTGTTGCTCTATGTGGTGGTCATTTGACTAATTTTCTCATTTTTGTAAGTTATTGACCATGCTATCGTATTCCTTGGATAACCCGGTGTGTGCATGTTGAACCACAAGAACGGAGAACAAGCACTTCATATTTATGCATTGTTGGATGAATAAATGCAAACTCGATCAAGACCACCACGGGCACGCAAGACAAATGAGAAAATCAAGTGGCTTGCATTTATTGCTATTCCGTCAAGACCACCATGGCAAATTAAGATGAAGATGATGATCCAAAAAATAAGCGGTTGCTCTAGTCAAAAGGCCTAGGAACCAGGGAGGAAGTGGGGGTGGAGAAAGAGAAGCGAGAAGGGGCGATGACCAAGATAATGGAGAAGTTTGATGAAGTCATGGTCAAGAAGGAGGAGGCATATGTCAAACTCTATGAGGTCAAGGAGGAGTAGAAGATGGAGAGGTTTGGCTTCTTCATGGACATGCAAAACAAGAAGTTCAAACTTGAGGAGAATAAGCCTATGATGAAAGCCACATTTGTGTCCAAACTTGGATCCAGATGCGGCGAAGTTTGCACAAGACTACCATGCTACCATGTTGAAGTGCCATGCAAAAATGGTGGGTGAAAATGAGGTCGAAAATTGGGACCTTTGGCATGGGCAACCGGACCAGAGCTTTAGGGAACGATGGATGTAAATACTTGTTGAACATCCAATGCTTTTGGTTGTGATTGCATAGGTTTGCAACTATTTAAATGTATGGTTTGTTCACTATTGAGCTAGATATCCATGTCAAAGGAAGGAGGCCAAACAAGGGACAAACATTTTTCCCTCCGGTTGGATAGCTTTCACCTCGCCCACTATTCGTTTTTATTTTATGCCCTTCATTTGATGATCCACACTGGAGCTGCCCTGAGGTTTCTCTCTGTGATCAAGTTAGCGAGTGGTATTTAGAAAGAAATCATTTTATTATTTGCCTTTGTTGAACTCTTCTTCTTTTGCACATGTGCCTTTGTTGAACTCTAGTGAAGCATATATTATATATGCTTGATTCCTTACCCATTAATTAACTTCTCATGATTATGCATCCGGGCTGGAAGCATCATCCACAGAGTACTGCATGCGCTTCACGTCTTGCATAATTTATGAAGTATTCATGATTATGCATCCGAGCTGGAAGCATTATCTCCAACGTATTTATAATTTATGAAGTATTCATGCTATTATATTATCATTCTTGCATGTTTTACAGTCATTTTATAGCAACTTTATATCATTTTTGGGACTAACCTATTGACATAGTGCCCAGTACCAGTTGCTGTTTTTTGCTTATTTTTTACATCGCAGAAAATCAATACCAAACGGAGTCCAAACGCAGCGAAACTTTTTGGGGATTTTTTATGGACCAGAAGACACAACTTGGTCCAAAGAAGTACCAGAGGGGTTTCCCAAGGGGGCACAACCCACCTGGGTGCGCCTGGGGGCCCAGCCGCACCCTGGTGGGTTGTGCCCACCTCGGTGGCCTCCCGCACCGCCTCTTCGCCCTATAAGTTTCCAAATATTCCAAAAACCCTAGGAAAGTCGGGAGATCAGAAGTTTTGCCGCCACAAGCCTCTGTAGCCACAAAAAACCAATCTAGACCCCATTCCGACACCCTGTCGGAGGGGGAAATAATCACCGGTGGCCATCTTCATCATCTCGACAGCCACCATGATGAGGAGGTAGTAGTCTACCCTCGGGGCTGAGGGTTTGTACCAGTAGCTATGTGTTTAATCTCTCTCTCTCTCTCTCTCGTGTTCTTGAGATGTCACGATCTTGATGTATCACGGGCTTTGTTAATATAGTTGGATCATATGGTGTTTTCCCCTCTCTATCTTGCTGTGAATTAAGTTTTCCCTTTGAGATTTCATTTTATCAGATTGAATAATTTTATGGATTTGAGAGCACTTGATGTATGTCTTGCTATGAATACCCGTGGTGACAATGGGGTATCATATTTATTCACCTTATATGTGTTTTGGCACTCAACTTGTGGATTCCCGAGGTGACATTGGGGTAATCTATGCATAGGGGTTGATGCATATTCTCGTCTTTTGTTTCTCCGGTAGAAATCTTGGGGCACTCTTTGAGGTTCTTTGTGTTGGATTGAGTATTGTGAATCTGAATTTGCTTTGGTGTTATTTTAGTACGAACTCTTGATAGATTGATCAGAAAGAATAATTTGGTGTTATTTTAGTATGAACTTTTTGATAGATCGATCAGAAAGAATAGCTACAAACAATTTCTTCTTATGTTCTCCACTAGATAGGAAATTTGGAGGGATTCTTCATCGCACGTTGAGGGATGGTTATATGATCCAATTATATTAGAATTATTGAGAGATTGCATTAGTGAAAGTACGGACCCTAGGCCTCATTTTCAAGCATTGCAATACCATTTGTGCTCCTTTTATCAATTGCTACCTTGCTGTTTTTTATTGTTCCTATTACAAAAATCAATATCTATTACCATCACTACGCTTGTATCACCATCTCTTCGTTTAACTAGTACACATATAAAAATTATCATTGTATTTGGTGTGTTGGGGACACAAGAGACTTTTTATTATTTGGTTCCAGGGTTGTTTGAGAGAGACCATCTTCATCTTACGCCTCCCATGGGTTGATAAACCTTAGGTCATCCAGTTGAGGGAAAAATGCTACCGTCCTACAAGGTGTGTTGGGGACACAAGAGACTTTTTATTATTTGGTTCCAGGGTTGTTTGAGAGAGACCATCTTCATCTTACGCCTCCCATGGGTTGATAAACCTTAGGTCATCCAGTTGAGGGAAAAATGCTACCGTCCTACAAAACTCTGCGCTTGGAGGCCCATCATGAGTCTACAAGAATAAAGTTCTGTAGTAGACATCACACTACTGGAATCAGCTTCTTTGCCGTCTTCCATGGCGGACGGCAAAGGCATGCTGATGTCTACTACACAACTTTCTTCTTGTAGACGTTGTTGGGCCTCCAAGTGCAGAGGTTTGTAGGACAGTAGAAAATTTCCCTCAAGTGGATGACCTAATGTTTATCAATCCATGGGAGGCGTAGGATGAAGATGGTCTCTCAAGCAACCCTGCAACCAAATAACAAAAAGTCTCTTGTGTCCCCAACACACCCAATACAATGGTAAATTGTATAGGTGCACTAGTTCGGCGAAGAGATGGTGATACAAGTGCAATATGGATGGTAGATATAGGTTTTTGTAATCTGAAAATATAAAAACAGCAAGGTAACTAATGATAAAAGTAAGAGAAAACGGTATTGCAATCCGTTGAAACAAGGCCTAGGGTTCATACTTTCACTAGTGCAAGTTCTCTCAACAATAATAACATAATTGGATCATATAACAGTCCCTCAACATGCAACAAAGAGTCACTCCAAAGTCACTAATAGCGGAGAACAAACGAAGAGATTATTGTAGGGTATGAAACCACCTCAAAGTTATACTTTATGATCAATCTATTCAAGAGTCCGTAGTAAAATAACACGAAGCTATTCTTTCCGTTCAATCTATCCTAGAGTTCGTACTAGAATAACACCTTAAGAAACAAATCAACCAAAACCCTAATGTCACCTAGATAATCCAATGACACCTCAAGTATCCGTGGGTATGATTATATGATATGCATCACACAATCTCAGATTCATCTATTCAACCAACACAAAGAACTTCAAAGAGTTCCCCAAAGTTTCTACCGGAGAGTCAAGACAAAAACGTGTGCCAAACCCTATGCATAAGTTCACGAGGTCACGAAACTCGCAAGTTGATCACCAAAACATACATCAAGTGGATCACGTAATATCCCATTGTCACCATAGATTAGCACATGCAAGACATACATCAAGTGTTCTCAAATCCTTAAAGACTCAATCCGATAAGATAACTTCAAAGGGAAAACTCAATTCATCACAAGGAGATAGAGGGGGAGAAACATCATAAGATCCAACTATGATAGCAAAGCTCGCGATACATCAAGATCGTGTGAATCAAGAATACGGGAGAGAGAGAGAGATCAAACACATAGCTACTGGTACATACCCTCGGCCCTGAGGATAAACTACTCCCTCCTCGTCATGGAGAGTGTCGAGA